GGACACAGGCTGGGCAGCTGCGGCCTGGGTGCTCCAACAAGTGGCTGGATGTGTGAGGGGGGCGGTAGCCCTGGTCCAGATGGCCTTCTCTGGTCCACCTCCTGCATTCTTGCGCTGCCCACAGACTACTCTCCATCACCCTTGGCAGAGCTGCCAGTCCCACTGACTGCCCACCAGAGGGTGGTCACCACAGCTGGGAGACAGCAGGCCACATATGGGACCTCTCTGCACACTGGGAGCCTGTGGTCACGTGGGACTAGATACAGCCCATGGTTGCAGCTGAGACCAAGCAGCCTACAAGAGGCCATGCAGCCTGAAGGTAGGGTCAGAGACACCCTCTCTGGGACCCACTGGCCGTGCCAGGGCTCCACAGCCTGGGGCTACCTCTTTTTATCCACCTCACTTCCTGCAGGGTGAGGATTTCTGGGTTTAAATTTTTGGTGGACCAGTTGGCCAAAGGGGAAGAGCAAATCAGCTGTCAGGGCCTGGCACACTGGCCAGAACCTCATGGCAGAATTCAGGTCAGGATGGCACATCTGGAGTCAGCCCTGGGGCAGGAGAGGTGGGTTCAGGCTGCCTCTCAACTCCTGTGCTGCAACACAGTGCTTGAACTGGGTGACTTATGAAGGAAGGTGGGAGGGCCTGGTGCCATCTCAACTCTGGCAGGTAGTGGAGGGCAGGCAGCAGCTGTGTGCCTCAGGGCGGCCGCTCCTCATGACCAGGAGAATGAACCTGGGTCGGGTGAAGGGCTCAGAGAAGCACTTGCCAACCTGGAGCTCCCAGCAGCAGCCCCACTGCCTCCCACTGGACTTGTACCTGCTCCACGCAGGACAGGGCCTCAGGTGTGTCCTGAGTCTAGGAGGGAGTGAGCCTCTGGCTCAGCAACCCCAGACACCACGGCAGCGTCTCCAAGGGTCCAGACAGCACCCGCACTGCCGTGAGTACATTCTTCATTGCAAAAACATGTTCACGTTATTTTTTACTGATTTGTTTTAAAGAGTTGTGAGATTGTTTGAGAGAGAGAGAGAGAGAGAGAGAGACACGCAGGTAAGAGCTGAGCCCAGCTCCCTCTGAAGGTGCAGTGCACATTCGGGAAAAGCCAGCCTGATTCTGAAGCTGTGGTGGTGGTCTCCAGCCTGCCTCCCTGCCTCCTGTTGCCCGCTGGGGTGTGCTGCTGCCTGGCCCCCTCCAGCTGTGGCTCCAGCTGGCGGGGCCACCAGCCACTGCAGTCCAGAATGCCAGCCTCATGAGGCAAGGTTCAGGGCAGAGACCACTCTGCATCGTGAGGGCTGGGCTGCCAGACTCCCAGGGCTGCGTCTTCCTCGCTCACCTGGTATGCTGTCCCCTGCAGGGAACCCGAGTGGGAGAGTTCTCCCAGGAAAGAGGGAGCCCAGCTGTGCTAAGGACACAGAGACCAGAGACCTAGGGAAGTCAGGCCCGGTGGCCGCGAGCCTCGCCTCACGTGGCTTGTCAGCCCACCAAAGGCCTGTGAGCTGGAGTGGGGTGGAGTGGAAAGGAAGATGGGGGCAGGAGACTTGCCGGAGGGCACCTTTGGAGAAACAGTGACCCCTCTTCCTGCGGCCTCCACAGGGTGCCCCCACGGCTACCTGCCCCCCATGTTTCCTGCAGTCCTCCTGCACCGCTGCCTCTGACTCCTCCTCTCCCCACCTCTCTGTCCCATGGTTTTGTTCCTTTGCAGGAACGATATTTTTCTGCCTCTTTGTGTGCTTTGTGACATTTGTTAAAAAACATGTGAATCTTACAATGCACCTCTGGAAATCAAATTATCTACCTCTTTAATGACAATCCTAATTGGCTTCATTTTTAATTTTAAAATCAGGTAACACTTCATTCCATAAAACAGAATCAGTTTTCCTATGAGCCAAGCACTCATCAAAAATAATTTGATGAGTTAACATCAGATTATTTATTTTGCTTACACAAAATAAGGACAAGGGAACTTCACTATTTCACCAGTTGAGAATGGCTGTTCTCCCTCCAATCCAGATTTCTCTTGGAGGACCAGATGTGTCAGTTGGTTTGATTGACTCCATGTTGTTGTTTTTCCCCCTAGAATATTGTCTCTGTTGAAAACTGGCTTCACAAAGAAGGTGGCAGCAGGAAAATTTCAGAGTACAAAGCTTAAAAATAAGTCTTGGGCAGTGTGGGGTTATTTTCTGTTTCTGAGGGGGATCATCCGGTGTCCGAGGCCCGGGAACAGAGGCAAAGTCCACAGCTGCCCATCCAGGAGATGTCACTCTCAGTAGTGTCTGGTGTCCTGACCTGTGCTCGCCCAGGATGACGGTGGGTAAGGAGCAGCAGGTCACAGGGGCCCCCTGACCCTCTGGGAGACGGAGCTCTCCCTGGGAAGACCCCAGGGCTGAGGTAGAATCAGCGGCCAGGGGAGAATCATGTCAACGACTGTCCCCACCTATGGTCCCTGAGGTCCTGGGGCAGGGATGCAGGAGGCAGCCAGTGTCACAAGACGTCCCCATCCCCAGCCAGGCCGGGCATCTGGCTAAGCGAGGAGAAAGATGGTATCCTTCCTCAGGCCTGGCCCCTGTGCCTTGTCTCACTTCCTCCCCGGCACCATCTGGAAGGGGAAGTGACACCCAGGGGAAGGCCGAGAAGTGAGGCCACTGTCACATTCAAGCTCAGGGTGCAACAGCTCAGTCTGCCCCCGAACAGGCCCCATACTCGGCTCCCCTTCATGGGCCACATCCCTTCTGAGAGTCACGCCTTGCCCTTTATAGGCACAAGGACCCAGAAGTTCCAGGGACATGTCCATGTTTAGGCCCTCAGATCTGGAAGTGCCTCAAGCGTCCATGTTTAGGCCCCTGGATCCGGAAGTTCCTCAGACATCCATGTTTAGGCCCCTGGATCCGGAAGTTCCTCAGGTGCACGTCCATGTTTAGGCCCCTGGATCCGGAAGTTCCTCAGGTGCACGTCCATGTTTAGGCCCCTGGATCCGGAAGTTCCTCAGGTGCACATCCATGTTTAGGCCCCTGGATCCGGAAGTTCCTCAGGTGCACATCCATGTTTAGGCCCCTGGATCCGGAAGTTCCTCAGGTGCACGTCCATGTTTAGGCCATAGCATCCGGAAGTGCCTCAGGTGCACGTCCATCTTTGGGCCCTCGGATCTGGAAGTGCCTCCGTCCTCCATGTTTAGGCCCCCGGATCCGGAAGTGCCTCAGTTGCGCGAATGTGTTTAGGCTCTGGGATCTGGAAGTTCCTTTGGTGCATGTCCATGTTGAAACTCTAGGATCCGGAAGTGCCTCAGGCATCCATGTTTTTCTGTTTTCATTCTTTTTGGATTGGTGAAGAGTGCCTCTGTGTTGGTGGTCAACCTAAAGGGGCAGTTTCACATCTTCTCAGAGTCCTGTTTTCCTGACCACACTTGGTGGTTTTGCAAATTCCTCTGATGCATGGTTGCTTTGGAAGGTCCTGATCCTTAAACATCTAGTTCCCCAAAGAGCAAAAATGAACCTCTGAAGGCCAACAGGTGTTGTTCCTCTAACTCCTGTGGGAGCTACTTCAGTCAGGGGGGGACAGTGGCGGTCAGCCTGCGCCTGCTTCTTGGCAGCCCAGTGTTTAGAGCTAGTCAAGGTCTCTTGCAACAGGCGGCACACGAGGCTGTCTGCCACACGGGTGGGAATTAACCACAACTTCGCATCCACACAAATTTAGGCTCCAGAGTTGCAGAATAGTGTCAGACAGCCTGCGCCAGGGCAGCTGCCACCAAGGTGAGTCACAGGTACCACTTCTTCCTGTTCTACCACATGGCAGAACAGGAATGGTTTTTAAAAGTTCTGACTTTTATCTCTTCAATAAGTATTCTAGAATGGTTAATTTCTAAGTAAAAAGACTTTTGCTTTTTATTTTTTTTTGTTGATTTATAATTATTTTCTTATAAACAGAAAATATGGCTTGTAGGATTTCAGTAAATTTGCTTCTCATTATTTTGATTGAAGTTTAATTTGGAGTCTAATATGTCATTATGAACTGTCTACATGTATTCTGTAAGAGTGAAAATAAGCCATCTAATGACATGTATCTCTTAAAACAAACTTGTTCACTGACGTGTTCAAACGTATGTCATTATTCTTGGTCTACTTGACATGTTGATTCCTGTGAAATGTGTTAAAACATTATACCAATTTCTCCTTGTATTTACTTAAAATTTCAACTTATGATTTCAGTATAAAGATTAAAATTGGTAAGACCCTCCTTTTTTTTAAAATTCTAGTGTATTTCCTTACTTTTTAGCACACACTGTAACATACGTTTTAGTATACACATCTGGATTTGACAGAAACCTACGTTCTAAGTAGTATGCCTTTTTATCACATTACCCAGAAACACACATCACTTTCCTTATAATAACCTGGGACTTTGGTCTCCCAATTGTTTTTGCTTATTTATTTGCTTTTGGTTAGTAATTTCCTGGCAATACCTGTGCATTTTACTGATTTCTTTGCTTGCTCCCAGCATTCTTGTTAAAAATCAAGGGCCCATTTTGCTGAAGCATCCATTTCCTCTTGGAAAGATAGGAGGGTTAGAGAGGAAGTGGCTGCTGCCTCAGTGTGGTCAAGAGCTTCAGTCCTCTCCTGGAGATGCATGATCACCTTGCCCAAGAGTAGACAAAATTGGACATTATCTCAAGCTACCCGGAGTGTCTTCCCCCAGCACCCTGCCTGTGAGTTCTGACCGCATGACCCAGCGCTCGAGGATGGGAGGAACATGGAGCCCAGCAGAGGGACACATGCAGCTGGCTCTGGAGAGTGGAAGCATGGACGGTGCTGGGCAGTGCAGGGCTCACTGAGGCTGGGGAGCATGAACTTAGGGTGGGCACAGCAAGGATGGCAGCAGGGCTTTCCCTAGCCGTAGTCCAAATGCAGAGTCGGGTTTAACCCAGGTATGTGGTCTCACCATGAAACCAGTCTGGAAAATTAGGACCAGGTCCCCCAGTGTCGAAGATCAAATACCCAAGAAACACTGGGGCAAGACCAAAAAGTAAATTTTATTAAGGCAAAGAGGGAGAGAGGAAGGGGGAGAGAGTCTTCTCCTTTTAAAAACTGACCAAAAGGGCAGGAGGAGAGTGTCAGGGGTGATTGCTTGTGTTGGAAAGTGTGTCCCCCCCATCGCAGGCTGTTAGTAACCAGGAGATGGAGGTGGTATCTACTCATTTCCTTTTCTTTGATAATCAGCTACCTGTCCTTTGCCCTGGCCTCAACAGCATAAAGACTATACAGAAGCAGAGGACACAAGAAACCACCTGCTAGGCAGAGGCTAAGCAGCGAGGACAGGCAGGCTGACACACAGCTGCACTTGCCAGGTCAGTGGGCTGGCGGTCAGGCCTGAAGGGCTACCAACTCTAGATGCTGCAGGGAAGTGTTTGAAGCTAAGGTCACGAGGGAGAGCAGCAAGGCTACAGGTGAAGTCAACAGCTGAGAAAGCAGAGAGCTAAAACCCTGAGAAGGCTGAAGGACCACAGCTTCCTGGGGGGGCGGGTGACAGCTGGATGGCATGAGATTCAGTGTGCTGCTGTAGGTCAGGGGGAACTTTTGGCGGGGGGGCTGGCCATGGCAGACCCTCCAGAACCCTGCTCCTGCCTAGCAGGAGTATCGGCTTCATCTCCTGAATGTGGACAGGCCTTTTTAGATACCTGCGTGAAAAGAAAAGGGCAAAACCGAGATGCTGCAGGACTTGAGGCAAGGCTGTGAGAGGGACAGGTCTGCTGCCTGCCTCTCCAGCGTTGGAGATGCTGGGCCTGCACCTCCGGAAGCCTCTCTGGGAAGAAGTCCACGCCAGGCTTGCAGGCAAGAGGGATGAGTGGGAGCCCATGTGTGGTGGAGTGGCCAGTGACCACCATGCCCAGCCTGAATTCCTGACTCGGTCTGGGCCCACACCCAGTTCTGGGTGATGCACTGTGCATGGTGCAGGGGCCACACCAGGCTGAAGATTGCACCAGAGAGTCAGGCACAGAGAGCTGGCTACTCATACCTGGTGTGACCGATCAGTGAAGACCGGGATGAAAGGACACCACTATTTTTGAGTGTAATTTGATAGCATCAGTCAAAGTTTTAGATCCAGCTATTTACATTGATTTGCACAGACACATACCATGTTTTAGTCAGCTTTTTCTCTGCTGTGACTAAAAGATCTGACCAGAACAATTTTAGGGGTGGGAGGAGTCGATTTGGGGGCTCATGGTTTCATAGGTCTGTTTATAGACAGCAGACTGCATTCCTCGGGGCTCAAGGTGAGGCAGGACATCAGGGTGAGGAGTGTGGCAAAGAATGATCAGGAAGCTGAGAGACTCCACTGACCAGATACAAAATATATACCCCACAAGCACACCCCCAGTGAACCTCCTCTGGCCACACGCCACCTGCCTCAGGCCCCCACTCAGTTAATCCCATCAGGAATCAATTAACTGACTAGGTTAAGGATATATGATTATAAGGGTGAAATTTCTCCTCTAAACCTTCCTGCATCGTCTCACACATGAGTTCTCTGGGGACACTTCACATCCAAACGCTAACACTGTACATGTATGTAGCAGCAGAGTGTGGTTCGTGGAATGTTAGATACAGAAACATTCTGCCTAGCTTTGGGTCCCCAACAAATTAACTTCTGATTCTAGAGGACATTTTTTCAATAATATGAATGCAGGAAATGAAGTCTTGTGCAGCCCCAGGCCACGCCACATACGGAGCTGTGCAGGGCCTGCACCTCCTCCATCTTCCTGGGCCTATCCCATAGGGACACAGGCCTCCCAACAGCCTCTCTTTCTTCATAAACATCCCAATTTACTGAATGTTGAAATGTCTTCCAAATTTAAGAAAATGTAAATTATGAGTAAACGATCTTTGCAATTAAAAATTGATACATATAGATTCTATCAGAAAACTAAGCTCAGAAATAACTTATAAACAATATTAAGACTACAAACCATCCAGTGCCCTGGTTTTCAAATGGAATTCAGGTCACACCAACACAGCTTAAGCTTGTGAAAAGAACATAAATATTTTATTGATGAATCAGAATTTAGGTACTACAAAGGGAACTGTCTTTCTCAGAAGTCCATTTTCAGTCTAAGGGGTGAGAAATTTATTTCACAGAAACACACACAAGCAGCAAAGAAAGAGGATTTCTAAAGGCAGCTGTGGTTTCAAAGGAGCAAGAGAATGATCAGGAAGTGGATACTCAGGTACATGGCACTCACAGGAAAAGCGGGAAACACCTATTTCCAAAGCCAGGAGGCAGAGCTGTAGACGCTGCGGACTCACATGAAGCATAAGCAGGCACATGGACATCCTCAGCAACAGCTGCACCGAGTGGCCACTGGGTTTTCGAACCTAAGAAACACAAATGTGCTCAACGTCTGCAGATCACACCCTGCTTTCCAAGTACAAGACAAGCAGCACGGGGGCTCCGTGCAGGTGGAGTTGCTGGGCGGGGCGCTCCCTCAGGTGCAGAGGGAACCTGGGCGTCAGTGTGCTGGGGGCTTGAGTTTAAACACAGCAGCAACCAGAGCCTTTCCAGAGCTGTGCTGTGGCCTGGGAAGGACCCTGACAGGGGCAGCCAGCGCTCAGGGACCAAGTGGAGTCTTCTCAGCCTCACCCCGAATGCTTTCCACCTCCACTCCCCAGAGGTGAAGCTCCTACAGGATGGGGGTCCAATTTCCAATTCTGGGGTTACTTGAAAATTCTGTGGAAAGAGCTACTCTGAACTTGGATTCATTTAAAACATTTTTTAAAAACAGAGGCTCTTCATTGCTCAGAGGAAAAGAGCAGTGGGTGTACCACTCCCAGGGTCATCGCCCTGGGCCTCCCATCTGGCTGTTGAGAACCAGCCTGCCCTCGTGTGCCCCTTGCCTGCCCTGCCCCAGCAGGACAACTCCCACCAGGAAGGTATGTGTACTTGTGTCTTCCCTTTCTTCTTCTTCTTCTTTTTTGGTACTGAGGAATGAACCCAGAAGCACTTTACCACTGAGCCACATCCCCAGGCACCTACTTAAATTTTTTTTATTTTGAGACAGGATCTTATTTTGGTTGTGAACTTGTGATCTCCCTTCTTCAGCCTCCCGAGTTGCTGGAATTGCATGCATAAGCCATCGTGCCCAGCTGTTCCTTCCTTTCTTTCAAACATTTCCAAGAACCAAGAGAAGAAATAGTTGGAAACTTGACTTGTTAGAATTTCCAACGAGAAAACAATTTGTGAAATGCCACGTGACTGTCAGATACCACACGTCCAGCGCCTCGCAGGGACATGGGAAAGTATCCTCACAATGTAGTGTCCAGTTAAAGAACAGGTGAGGTCAGGCGCCAATCTCCTGGAGAAAGACGTCAATCATGTGTTACGTAACGCAGAAGTTAATGATGACTGTTCTGGGCCGTACAATCAAGCACAACCCGGGACACATGGGGAGAAGTCGTTGGCAAGGGTCTTTTCTCTTTTCAAGTGAACTCTGGTCCCACAGCCACTTTCCTTGCAGGTGCAGCTGGGCAGGGTGGGGTTCAGTGCTGCGTCCTCCTCATCTGAACTGCAGGAGGCGAACTTGTCTTGAACTCAGGAGACAAATCCAGCAGCATGTGAGCCCTGGGAAGCCGGGCACTTGGCAAGACTCAGTGGTAGACTGCTTCTCCCGGCACTTCTGGGGATGCAGGTGGGGACACTAGTACCTCCTCCACTGGTCATGATCGTGGGTTCTGCTTCCTGTACCAAACAACATGACATCCCAAGTCAGAAACCTTCCTCACAATCCAACAGAAAGCTGCATGTTTCTGAGCTCACACAAGAACAGAACTTTACTCTCTTTCCAGCTGTGGCCACCAGGCATTAAAATTTTGTTCTACAACCATCCATTAGAGTGGAAGCAGTCACTCCAGAGGTCGTGCTATGAGTGGAAGCTGACATCAGAACCGCCCTCTGAATACCAGGTCCCACCGTCTACACAAAGCCCTCTCCCAAGATGGCGCTCCCATTCACAGGGCTCACAGACAAGAGTGTGTGGCTGCTGAGCCCAGAGCTTCTGTCCCCAGCCCACAGGGCACTGGCTGCTTTCTGCCTTTCTGAGAGACAGGGAATGCTGAGAAATGACCTGGGCAGAACCCTCCTCCTGGTAAGAAAGGTCAGAGTTTTCCTAGCTTAAAAATAACACTTACCTACAAATTTCATGCCTACTCTTAGTTTTCTTCTGGCAAAAGGAAGCATAGCCCCACGGCCACACCTGACAACCCCGTGTGAGGGCTCTGGCTCCAGAAGGAGGCTGGTAGCTGAGGTGTGTTGAGAGCCACAGCCGAAGGGGCCCCAGCAAACTTCCAGCTGCCAACTGTTGGCTCCTCTGCGGTGACGCTCATTGGGCTGTTTCCCTGCCCTTTCAGACCACGGAGCTGCTCATTGGGGGACTTTTTTGGCTCCGCCCACGCGACCCAGCCTATCGGCCTCAAGAGCAGGAGGAATGGGGGAGGTTGAGAGGCTTGTGGGAAGCCAGAAGTGGCAGTTGAGCTCTGAAGGTTTTTCCTGAGGAGCTGTGTGGTGCGGTGTGTGTTCTAAAAATAAAGTTCGTTTCTTTTGACAAGTGGCTTCTGAATTGTGCCCAGCCAGACTGCGGCATTCATTAGCCCAACGTCTCCCTCTACGGCATCGTGGGCAAATACCCAGTATTCTACCCCTTTGATACCTAGTTTTGTTAAACCCTCCTCCTATGGGGCAATTCCTTTAAAAATGTCCTGTTTGTTCACAACTATAGCATGTTTTTGGCCTGGCATCTAAAACCTGTTGTACTGCAGCTGCCACGAATTGCCCTTGTTCATTAATGTCTCTACATAATTTAATATATGTGTTTAAATCTCCATGTTTCCATGGGCTAATGACTTCTCTGCACCAACGATTCGCTTGCTCATAAACCAGTTGTTTTATTAATGGCATTGCTTGTTCTGTATTCTCAAAAACTCTGGTAGCTGTTTGAATAAGCCTATCTACAAATTTAGTGTAAGGTTCATTAGCTCCTTGTATTACCTTAGATATTTGACCTTGTAAACCTCCATGTCCTTGTAAAGTCTTCCATGCCCTAACCGCATCTACAGCAATTTGTATGTATACACCAGGATCATATGCAATTTGTTGCTGCTGATCCTCATAAGGTCCCTTTCCTAACAACATATCTAGATTTCTCTGAGGATAACCAGCTGCTGCATTTCGCCTAGCCGTCTCCTTGCAAAATTCCTCATTGGCAACCTTCCATAACGGGTATTGTCTTCCATTTAGCACAGCTTTACACATTTTAGCCCAATCTGCTGGCGTCATGTTCAAGTTGTTAATGGATTCGACCAAGTTTACAGTGAAGGGTGCTTGAGGACCATAGGTTGTTACAGCCTCTTTTAGCTCCTTCACTGTTTGGAAATTTAAAGCATGGTGAATTCGCTGCCCTCCTGCCTGCTCAAGTACAGAGCATGCTAATATTTGAGGTCCTGTCTCAGGATCCCAACTATCAACTGTGGGGGTTGGGGACCTCCCAGCATATGGAGGTGGCGCTGTTGGTTGGACACTTACGTCCTCTGGTGATAGAAAGGTGTTAGTAGCAGTCTCCTGTTGTAACTTTTCCCTGATGGCTTTTTCTGCTCTAAACTTCCTTCCTCTGTCTGACTAGCTCGAGAGACCTTCTCTTTTACTTGAATCTTTTCCTCTGTCTGACTAACTTGAGAGACCTTCTCTTTTACTTGAATCAATGTGTCTTCCCCTTCCTCTACCTTTGTCTGAACTGAAGGCTTTGGACTAAGCAAACCAGATACGAACATCCACAATGGCAATGTGCCAACTGGCAGAGTCCCTGGGCTGTTCTTTTCTATTCTTTTTAAATCTTCACCTTGATGGTCCCACTGTGATATATCTAACAACTCCTCCTTAAAAAGCCATGGGCTACATTTTTGTATTGTATCAACGTATGCCCTGACTGTTCTTGATTTTACTGGGATGCCCCCTTCCTCTAACAATTTACTTAACACTCTTTCGGTTTGTTTTTTACTAATTTCTGATCCCGTATTTCTACTATAATACAACCCAACAAGATGACGCCAAACAAAACCGAGATAGAATGAAATAAAAATGGAACCACACAAAATCATTATAACAGCCTTTCTATCCTCCTGACATATGCATCCTTCCTTGCTCCCTATCTGTTCCTCAGACGCAAATAGTTGTTCCTCAGATGTGAGCGGTTTTTCTTCTGTCTCACTCATCTCCAGGGACAGGCAACTTAAAACAAAAGCGAGAAACAAAACAAAAGAGGAAACTTAGAATGGCTACCCATCCTCTCGCCCTGCCCTCAGGGGCGAGCAGTTTACCTTATCACTTACCCTCAGTCGTTCCATGAGGCCGCAGTCTGGCTGGGCACAATTCAGAAGCCACTTGTCAAAAGAAACAAACTTTATTTTTAGAACCACACACACCGCACCACACAGCTCCTCAGGAAAAACCCTCAGAGCCCAACTGCCACCACCGGCTTCCACAAGCCTCTCAACCTCCCCCACTCCTCCTGCTCTTGAGGCTGGTTGGCTGGGTCGCGTGGGCGGAGCCAAAAAAGTCCCCCAATGAGCAGCTCCGTGGTCTGCAAGGGCGGGGAAACAGCCCAATGAGCATCACCGCAGAGGAGCCAATCAGTTGGCAGCTGGAAGTTTGCTGGGGCTGCTGTGAGCCAATCATGAGCCGGCAGCTGGAAGTTTGCTGGGGCCCCTTCAGCTGTGGCTCTCAACAGAGGTGGATTCCAGAGGGCATGGTTCCCACCATGCTGCCCGGATAAGCAGAGCCTTCTTCAGACCCACCACAGAGAAGAGAAGGTGAGACTCACAGGCACCTTTCAGCTTCTGACTGGAATTCCACACAGGACCCTTTGCTGGTGGGGCTGAGCAGTGCAAGGGGAGGGTGCACTGCTTTGTGGACCATTTGTTCACAAAAGCTGGGCCCTAGGCTTTCACGTGCGCCACCTCTGGGGTGTAGCCCGGTCTTCCCAGAGGCCTTCCCTGCTAAGACCCTGGGGCCTCGGCTCCACACAGCACACGGTGGTCAGGGCAGAGTAGGGCGCTGGAACCTGCCAACTCCAACTAGACCCTTTAGTTACAAGGTTTTGGTGTTTTTTTCCTAACAGAAAGACTTTTGCCTACTGACACTGTCCTGGACATAGTGGCAACTTTCTACTCAGACTATTTCAAAATTTGCAAGAAATACAAAAATGGGAGTTCAAGGTGGGCAAAACACAGCGGTTACCAATGAAAATCTACACCCCAGTCCCAAACCTGACTCTGCAGCAGCATCTCACACAGAAGGTCTGAAAGCAGAAGACACCTGCACCCGCGGCCAGCCTGAGGACTAGGAGGCCTGAGGCTGTGCCTGAGCCTCCCCTCGACACCCCCAGCAGGTGGCTGCAGGAGCCCAGACCTGCATGTCCTGGTGCCTGCCCGTCTACACCTTGCTGCCCACACTCTGCCTCTGCTCCTCTCTGGGTCAGGAGGAACTACACCACTTCCAGTACCCAACTTTATGTATGTGCCTGGAACCCTTAGGCAACGTATGTCAGAAATGGAATGTGAATATGTGTGCGCTGGAATCACAGCCAGAACCTGGGGCCCGAGGCAGTGGGCTGGCACTAAGCACAACATCCAGCAAGAGAGGGCCAAGACGCGCCACCTCAGCACCCAGGCCTGGCTCAAGAACATACAAGTCCACACGGCAAGAGCAGGACACGGTGCTGGGCAGCCCACAGCCACATGGTGCTGCCCACTGAGCCTCTGCTTCATTGGCTCAGTGTGCACGTGGTTCCTACAGAATGCACACCTGGTATGGCAATGGCACGAGGGCCTGGAGCCTAGGGAGGACCAAACCCTGAGGGAAGAAAGGACACCGCAGGCAGAGAGAAGAGCTTCCGCAGACCAGGCTGAGGTGTGACCACTGAAGTTTAAAGAGGAAGAGCCTAGTGGGGCTGAGGAGGGGAGGGGGAGGCTTCAGGGCTAGGTATAACCCTGAGTCCTGTGCCAGGTTTCCAGTTTCTCATGGGGGCAGCCTGTCCTGTCCAGAAAGGAGTACAGGACATGACCCCTTATGAGCCTGCTGGTGTCCTCATGCGACCACCAGGAGCCCATCCCTCCTGGGCCCACCCCCACTTTACCTCCACAGAGCCAGTCTGCCGGCTCCTTGCCTCTCTGGACTCTACTCACAGGGCTATCTTTTCCTGACCACCCCGCCTGACAAGTGCCCACAGGTCCAGGCCCTGCAGAGCTGCCACCCCCACGGGTGCTCAGTGTCACCATCACCCTAAGCCTGCACTGCAGTATCACAGGCCAGAACAGCTGCCCGCAGGTGGAGCCTGCAAAAACACGATGGCCCTGGTCTCCTGTGGGACCAGCAAGGGCTTGGGCTAGGACAGGCCAACGTGCACACAGAGGCCCAAAGAGTTGCTGCCCTTGCACGGGCACCAGGTTGCACACTCCCTCCAGCCCAGGACATACCTGCTCTCTGCCCTAGGGAAGGCCACTACTGTCTTTAACTAGTTGCCTGAGGAGGACAGGGTTCTGGATACTGTTGGTACTCTCTGCTAACTGCATCTGAAGAAACCAACTCTGTTTCCTACCAAAGCCAGGAAGAGAGGTTACCGCCAAACTCAGGAATGCTCCTGTCTCTCCACAACCACCCAAGGAAAAGAACAGAAAACTTGCAATGTGGGCTGGGGCTGTAGCTCAGCAGCAGAGCACTCGCCTGGCACACATGAGGCCCTGGGTTTGATCCTCAGCACCACATAAAAATAAATACAATAAAGGCATTCTGTTCACCTACAACTACATTAAAAAAAAAAAAAAAGCAAAGAATAGAAAACTTGTAATGTTCTCTGGGGCATGCACTCAGCCTGAAGGCCATGTCCTGGTCAATCCTGGTGCCCGGAAGATGGCTGCTCATGGGGGTTTTGGTGGGGTTTCTTGCTTTATTATTTTGAAAGCAAATACACTGAGGTAAAAGTGACTATTTTGTTTTTGATAGGAAATGGTTCCACGTAAACATCAGGTAAAACGCTATAATCAGGGCCAGGAAAGAAACACTGAAATGCTTGGGACAAGGCTCAGAATGGCGACGGTGATCCCAGGTAAGTGCTGATGAGGCAAGCACAGCTGTGCTAGGAACCTTGAGTGCTGGCAACACCCGAGGACCAGAGCGGTCTGCAGGCTGGCGGTAAAGGAGTGGAGCCCAGCCTGCAGATGGGACCTGCTGTGGAAAGCCGTGGGCTTCCTCTGGAGACTGCAGCAGGTAAGAAGGCCTGCAGCCTTCACTATGCCGTGGGCGGCAGGCCCAGGCACAGAACTAGGGCTGGGACTGGACCTGTCTTTGATGGCCGCCCTATGACACCCACCCCACCTTCCTCTATTTGTCCCTTTGGGGTACCACTGATTATTGCTCACCCACTCTGAAAAATCAGGATCAAAACTGCAGAGCTATGGGGACAGAGTTTCCTGATGAAAAGCATGAAGAACCTGGGAAGTCACCCAAGATATTGTCCCTCTCAGGAGACCTGGTGACTTCCAAGCAGGGCTGTACTCTTCTCATCAGGGGTAGTGTGCTGACCCTGCCTGTAGCACACAGCCTCTTCCCTGCCCTGCTGGCCCGGTCACCACCTATCCTCACCTAGGATCTGGACAGAGCAAGGAAAGGGACAATCCAAAGCTAAAAAAGTGTAAGCACAAGGTCACCTTCCTCAGCACTCTTGGGCAAGTGTGGGGACTGCTCATTGAAAAGCTTGGAAGTGGGGTAGCTCCTCACCTGGCTGGGAGTAACTGTGGCTTCTGCAGGGGAGACCCATTCCCATCGGGTCAGATCAGCTGGCTCAATGTGAGGCCACCAGCTCCTGCCACAGTCTAGTCCCACCCGGCTTGCATGACTGGCTTCACCCAGGGGCCAAAGCCTCAGTGCATAGCCCTGACCTTCATTGGGTGCCAGGCTCCCTCACCCCAAGTGGCTACTCCAAGCCAGCCCCTTGCTTGTTTCAAGCCATCGTGTACCACGGCCAGCTTAACACTGGTAACTAAGGCCAAATGTCCTGCCCTCTTGTCCTCTGCAATCAATTTCAAGTGCTAGGTCCTTTCCTTCTACAAACACAGACCTCCTGCTCCCTGCTGGCCATCCCCTCTCTGCCCCATGTCCCTCATACACCTGGCAGCTGCTCCCACCCCCATCAAGTCTTTGCTTATGCATTGCTAGTGGGGAGCCTTCTTAGATTCCTCACTGAACTAGCAGGGGGCAGGTCAGCCAGTGAGGTCTGCATTTCATTTTGCACCCAGCTCACTTGGAACCCTATCAGCCTTACAGACTGAGAAGCCAAAACACCACACTCTTCTCAGGCAGCCCACACATGCTCTGCCCAGCAGAGACAGATGGATTCTACAGGCCAGCACCAGCTGGCCCATGTGCCCTGCAGCAGGACCCAGGGCTACCCATGGGTTGCACCATTGCATTCTAGGCAAGTCAAAGGCCTTCTGGTCATTTGCAGGGTCCCTGTTGGTGGTTTAGTCCAGTGAATTTTAGTATCTCCTAAATTAAGAGGAAGCTCAAGTATGCTGAACAGGAAGTTATACTGCCCAGGCAGATGAGCAGATTGCTTAACTGGCAGTGAGGTGGCTGTGACCCTCATGTGTGTGCTACACTAGAGACCATGAGAGAAGGCAGGTGACTGAGGAGGTCCACTTGGCCAGGGAGGCCCAGGTGGCAGGCAGGATATGGAAGAGCAAGGTCTGCAGGTTTCAGCTCAGGGAAATGTCCAAGCAATCTAAGCCTACATTGGCAGAGCCCTTCTAATGCCTGGGGGTGGGCCCTGCAGAGACACCTATCAGCTCTGGTGTTTGCTCAATGTGCAAACCAGGACAAGAGGGCAGGACTCAGCATGGGGCAAGACTGCTGCTCAGATCCCCGAGGCAAGCATCTGTTCTCAGAGGTGGTGCCACACACGACAACTGGGTTAACGCTCAAGACCTACTGTGCCCGAAAGTAAACTGAGCCATGTGAGAAGCTACCACACGATTTAGAGGTTAGAAATATAAAAATATCATGAATTAAAAGTGTGCATGAAAGAATAAAATGATAAATTTTAGATAATTCTGAAGTCTATAAAGTTTGATTCTCTAAACTAAGGAATCTGAGCTTAAATAACAATGAGGTTTTCTATGTATTTAGATGTAAATATTACATACTAAATTCAGCAAAATATGTGCACTAGATACCTGGGCTACATGTACAAGAAACCAAGGATAAGGCTCATCTCCCACACCACATTTACGTGTGTGTGTGTGTGTGTGTGTGTGTGTGTGTTTATCCCTCATGTATATGACTGTGACATGAACACGACCAGCATATTCCTATTTGTGCTTCATTCTTCATTAGAAGGGTGAACTTTTGACACGTAACTCTGTAAGAGCCTTTGTTAAGGAAACTCCAAAAGTTGGGTACTTAGGGTGATGAATGAAGTGGCCGGGAGCAGACAGATGCCCACACACGACGCGTCTCAGCAGTGAACCGCACACTCGGGACAGGAGGAGCAGTTTGGCCAGCCCCTGCATGGAGGCTGGCACACATGGCTTCTTACCTGGACCCTGGTCTCTCCACGGCTGTCCTTGCCCAGAATGGCCACACGCAGAGCTTGTCCTGTGGGAGCTGGAGCCCTGCCTTCCCCACCTCCCTGTGGGAACACAGTCAGCATGTCAGCATAGCACGCTTGCCCTGCCCCAGGTCTAACAACATGGCAGGTGGCACCGAGTCAGCAGTCCCCACGTGTTCGGTTGTGGGTGCACAGACAGGACTACAGCACAGGAGCTGCTGCAGGGAATGTGGTCCTGGGCCAAGGGCCGAGGGCAGCAGCCAAACATGTTCCTTCCAAAGGAGGTCTCAGGTTCACTGGGGCCCCGAGGGCGATGAAAAGAGGTATGGGCCCCACCTCTGAATCCCTTGACCAACTCATCTTTGGGGACGTTCTACTTAGGACTTCATGAGCTCCTCAAACTCATGGATACATACTTCACAGTTTTCATAACTTCCAAACCCTCTACCTCTTGCCATCTGTCTCTACTAGAAGCCCTCACTCAGTATTATTTCCTTTGGTGTTCTGGTACTCCATAGTGATTTACAAAGACAGAAGTTGAGATGTGGGTGCTACACTGCTGCTTACAGCTCTGGGCCACATGTACCAAGCAGCATGGCCTTGGCCAGTGTTCCTTGGTGTCTCAGGCACAGCCCCTCTTCTGCATGGAGCCACTTTGGACACAAGGAACAGTCCACAGCCCTTGGGGTTCTAATCACCAGTAAAGGAAGAAGACTGACTCAAGGGTACAGCCACATGCTGCCAGAGTCATCCTGGCTCCCCTTCCGGCACCACTTGTGTGGGCCCAAGATAGCCTGCAGTCTGCTTCCTTATCCCCATTCTCTGCTGCTGATAAGGACACCTTCCTAAATGGTATTTCTTTTTTTGGTACCAGGGATTGAACCAAGAGGCACTCTACTATTGAGCTAAATCCCCAGCTGTTTTTGTTTTTTATTTTAAGACAGGGTTTAGTAAGTTACTGAGGCTGGTCTTGAACTTGTGATCCTCCTACATCAGCCTCCCGAGTCCCTAGGATCATAGGTGTGCACCACTGCATCCAGATAAGAGCAGTATTTCTGACTGCATCACTTTAAAAGCCTTCAAAAGCTCTCTTGATTTGCACTGGATAAAAATGTCAACTCTTAAACGTGGTAATCAACAGTCTCCTGTATCCAGCTCCTACTAACCTTTCCTGGTTCATCTCCCACTGTGGTGTTGTACCCAAATCTAACCAGTGGCCTTCCACCTGCTTGCCATGGCTCCAGCACTGAGCTTCCCTGGCGAGCCGTGACTGCCACCCTTGCTGCTGAGCTACCTGTCTGTAACGTGTCCACTGTATCCGGCTATCACATCACACCTCCAGCTCTGGAGGTTTCTGTGGGGGCAACGCTGGATCCACGCCAGCATACTGAGCTGCGTGTGACCCTGTGTTCATGGCTGTTGACTCTAGAAGCCAACTCAAGGGAGGTGGGCTCTGGGGAAGCAGCCATGCAGCTGTGTGAGCAGGCAGCAACCTTAGCACCAGGCATCTTCTCACAGCACACATGGACAGCGTGACCAGAGAGAAGTCTGGGTATGCAAAGCCCAGTGACAATGGTCACCTCAAAACACCTGGCACACAGCCTTCAGCAAGGCTCTCTGCCATCTGTCCCACTCTTGAGCAGTTTGAATTAGAAACACATCCATCCATAGGCAGGCTGAGCCCCAGACTGTTGACTACCCTGAGAACAGTAATGCAGAGATGGTAGCACAATTATTCTGTAGTGCTTTTGGGTCTCAAATTCTACCCAACTGCAGCTGTTAGGTTAAAGCCAAAAAATGGAGGAAAGGTTAGCAAATGGATAAAGGCACCACCCTTTCCTGGTCTGGGGCAGCTCCCCACCCACTGTTCTCCCTAATGGGTCCACACTCAAAGTCAGGAGGACTGCACACTTGAAAGGATGGGTGCTCCAATCACACACAGCCTCCAAGGTGAAGTCTGCAAGGCTGCTGCCAACTGAGGCTCATGAAGATGGCCCAATGGGCAGGGTCTGGGGTGAGCTCTCACTCCATCAGCAAGAACACCAGGCTGCCAAGGGTTCAGAGACCAACCAACCAAAGACAGGGAGAACAACCAGACACCCACCAACAAGATAAGCAGTGGGGTGTCCCACACCACGATACACAGAAGCATCCGATCAGTGAGATGAATGAAAAGGAATACACCTTTAGGTCTCTCGAGTGTACCTCCTAAGACCTTGGGTCACTGCTGGTGAAGGTGCGAAGGGATGAAATGGGTTACAGAACACACGCTGGCCACACTTCCCTGACCTACAATGCTCTGTTAAGGAAATAACACACGGAAGCACTGTGAGCCACAAGAAAGATGGAAACAGTTGCGAAGCTCTGAAGGGAAACTGAAAGCCTGTGGCCATCTCAGAGCCACATGCTAGGTGCTGCGTGGCAAAGCCACATGGAGAGTGGACCTCAAAGCTGAAGCACAGGAAAAGCTCACGGCAACCAGTCCTCAACACTTGTCCCTCAGGGTGACAGAATGAGAGGCTTTTATGTCTCCTTTCTTTCTTTATACTCTTAAGCTTTTCTTTCTTTCTTTCTTTTTTAAGAGAGAGAGACATTTTTTAATATTTATTTTTTAGTTTTCGGCAGACACAACATCTTTATTTGTATGTGGCGCTGAGGATCGAACCCAGCGTCGCGCATGTCCCAGGCAAGTACGCTATTGCTTGAGCCACATCCCCAGCCCAATACTCTTAAGCTTTTCTTTGTTTTATAAACACTCCCTGGTGATCTATGTCCTTGGAGAATGTGGAAGGCAGGACATGCACAGAGACAGCTCCTCATCACTCAAGAACAAACGGCTCCCTTCTGAACACTTTCTCAATGGGACTGAATTTAAACCATTTGGTAAAGTCCTATCCCATCAAGGTTAACCTTTCCTTGCACTTCTATCCACTTCTTTTTGGAGTTCTTATCAATAAACCACAGAAGTGACTGGGTCGATCCTGGGCCCACAACACCCAGTGACAGGTGTGCTGCAATGCCCATCCCTTGCCCACCTGTGTGGTGTGAGCTCCAGTGCCCTCTGCCCACAATGCGTCGGTTCTCCTTCATGCAGGCCTTGCAGACCACTGCTTTCAGGTTGTGGAATCTGGTGAGCCAGGACCTCTGCAAACAGATCAGATGCAATTGAGAGCTAGTTCTGTGTCACATAAATAGCAAGGTCACACCCACGAGGGGCCCTGTGCCCAAGGACACTGCACCAGCAAGGATGGAGGCCTGACAAGAGGGCTTGGAAGTCTGCTCCCTCATACCCGCTGGCAAAGCATCAGTATGCAGCTGTGCCTGTTTCGTCTTCCATAGGTCAAACCGACCTGCAGCCCTGTTGTAACCAGCTGGGTGACTGCCACACAATCTGGCTGAAAAGCCTGCGCAATTAACACACCTTGTTTCCCATCTCCGTGCAAGAGCACTCACTGGGGAGACCAAGGTCACAGATAGCGGCAGATGGGGAGGCAGCACGCTCTCTCCTTGCAGCCTCCTCTTACTAGTGAGCACTCTGCCTTGTATGCCTGGATCCTTGGGCGCTGGGTTCGATCCTCAGTATCATATAAAAATAAAATAATGATGTGTCCACTGAAAACTAAAAAATAAACAGTAAAAAATTCTCTCTTTAAAAAACAAACAAAACAAACCTGCTGTCACCTGTGCTGGCCAGGGACCAGGTACAAGAAAGAGGCCTGTGACAGGACTCCCAGCAGCACCCTCTGGCTGTCTCCTGTAGCCTCTGTGTCAGTGATGCCCATTCCGAGGCACGCTTTTCCTCTTATTCTGCTTTTGCTTTCTGCTCTTCATTTGGGCTGCTCCCAAGTTCTGAATACTTAATAGCCCTATACCACCCTGGACATTTTTTCTTTTTTCGTTGAAAAATGATGGTGGATGCATTACCAAATGTTTCCCCTGAAACACTCCACATGAGCTAGGTGTGAACCTTACTTAGAAGTCTTGCAGGGATGGGCAGCAATGGTGCTTAGAAATCTGGAGCAGCACATGACTTCAACAACATGGGGAGCCTCCAGGGGTCAAGGTTCCCAGGCTGGCCTGGTGTTGGTAGGTCCCTCTGCCGGGAGAGTGAGCTGCAGTGCACATCTGGTGCTATGGAGAGCAGCCATGGAAACAGCCAGTGCCCCAAGGTCAGCCTGGGATAGTGGGGAGGTTTCTGGGGAGCACGTTTGTTTTCCTGAAGCAACACGCCCATTAGGACTGACAGCTAGTTTGTCTTCCGATGTCAACTCCAGGACTCTGCAATTTCAGGTTGCTGGATTTGTTTTCGAACGTGCAAAAACCAGAACTCACATTTTGTTCCAAAAGAGCCTCCACAGAATATCCTTTTTCAGACTGTAGGTACTTCAGATGGAAAAGCTTCCCATCAAACAAGTTCCAGGGCATGAACTCACTGGTCTTCCAGGGGAAGCCACACGCACTATTGACCAGGGCGAGCGTGGTGAGGCCGCGGACAAGAAGGGAACCCAGCTGCACAGCTCTGGGGCTGATGTACTCGAGCTGCAGAGACAGAGTGAGGAATAGCAGTCAATACCTGGGGCAGTCAGCAGTGGCCACCAGGTCAGGCCCTATGGTCTCTGCTGCCTTTACCATAAATAAACTTAATTTAATAAAACGCTTTTTGGAATCCATTCATGTAACCACTTTTTCCCTCATCACTGTGTTAAGAAAGTGAACCATGGTAATTTTTTTTTAATATTTATTTTTTAGTTTTAGGTGTACACAATATCTTTATTTTACATTTATTTTTTAAAAATATTTAGTTTTTAATTTTAGGTGAACACAATATCTTTATTTTGTTTCTATGTGGTGCTGAGAATCAAACCCAGTGGCTCAGCATGCTAGGAGAGCGCATTAACACTTGAGCCACATCCCCAGCCCCTTTATTTTACATTTATATGGTGCTGAGGATCAAACCCAGTGCCTCCTGCATGCTAGGCAAGCGCTATACCACTGAGCCACAACCCCAGTGCTCCCCCGCCAACCATGCTAATTTTCAAGTGTTAAATCAACCTTGGATTACAAAAATAAATCTGCTTGCCTATCATGTCCCATAAGCTTTTACATATTACTAGACTCAATTTGCTTTTTTTTTTCCTTGGAAATTTGAATTATTTTTCATGAAACAGGGCTAAAATGTTCATTTTTCATCATGCTGCTGTTAGATTTTGGTATCAAGGTCCAGATGAACTCATAAATAGTGCTTAGAGAGCCTTCCCTTACCCAGCTGCTCCTCAGGTCTGGGAAACTCACAGGAGCCCTCTGGCCTGGAGGTCTCTGTGGAGCAAATTTTCTACAGACAATGGCTCAAGCAGCCTGTCTCCTCACATGTCACTGGCACAGGCCCAACACCCGGAGAGAGGGTTCCACTGACCTGAGCTCTCCTGTACCAGCAGGAAGTTCTCCCACTGCATCTTTATGTGAGCAGTGTGCTATGTACACTCCTTCTACTGGCAACTGAACTTCTCCAATTCTTACAGATTCTCAGAGGTTACTGATTTTACTAATTTTTTTTTCAAAAAGTTCTTTAGATACATCCTGCAACTACATGCAGAGCCAGCCCTGCTCTAAACACCCCACCAGGGATTGACTGTCTATCAAAATTAATGGGCCTACTAACTCACCAACTAACATCCATAGCTTTCAGGAGAGCTCACTCCATGCTGTAGATTCCATGGTTCTGACAAATGCATAATGACAAACTCCCACCAATAAGTGTCACACAGAGCTGCTCCCTACTCTAGAAGTCCTGGGCGGCCTTACTCCTCCTCCTCCACCTGAGGACCTGTGACCATGCAGGGTCTCACACACAGAGCAATTTCAATCAGCTTCAGTTTTAGGCCATTCCAGCCCTCAGCAGTGAACAACAGGAAAAAAAGGGGAAGGGGTTGAAAACCACCAATCCTTTTCTTTTCTCTCTCAGCCCCAAAAGAACTGGAAAGGACAGTCTGGCACAGCAGTGAGCACCCACCCACCCTTGTCCAGTGTTGTGACCACCTCAGTGGGGATGACTCTTCCATTAGCCATGTGTCTTCAGGACTCGCTGTGCTCATTGGTCCACGGATACACATGAACATATCCATATTTGTTTCTCTCTCAGTTTTAGCATTTTTATGATAATTACTTTTTCTTATCTTTTGAGGGTTAGGGCTTTTGTTTTGCATTTTTTCCCTTATTTTTCTCTCCTCCTCTTTTCAGCTAAATTCTCTTATTCTTTCTCTCTTCATTTACTTTTTTTTCTATTTTTATTCTCCTACTTTACAATCACCACTTGCCACATCTCTTCTGTATTTACTGTTCACATTTTGAACACTCTAAACTCTTCTATCTTCTTACCACATTTTATTTTCTCTTAATGAATTTCTTAAATAGTTTTTTTAGAACTATTTGGTTTATGTGACTCCTTTCCTCACCACTCATGCTATTGCAGTTATTAGTGCTGTGGAAGACAGTTGATACCTGCTTTTTATTTCAATGCTAGATCTAGTTCATGGTCATTTATTGTTTTTGCTGCTGGCAACCCTACCATTCCTGTTTTTGTGGTAATTGGTGTTGTAGATGTCATAGTAGCAACATAGTAGCAACATAATGCCATATGTTGTTTGCTTTTGTTGTTGCTGTTTTGTTCCCCTTTTCTGTGAGATTTTGGGACTCCACAGGGACACTGCGAGTTCACAGGATGGAGAGTCTACTGCTAAGCTCAACTCAGCCAAAACACAGCACACCTTGCGCCCTACACAGATGACATTCAAACTCTACTGCACTCCAATATAAAAAAAGGAGAAAAAACAAACCCCCAACTAACAATTAGGGTGGAGTGGTAGCTCTCCAGTCCCACTCATGGACATCCACTGCCACGGCAAAACCAGAGTTAACACCAAGGCTGGGACACCAGACCTAGGAAGAGGTCTCAGTCTAGATTGTGAGGACACACTGGCAAGAGAAGGCCCGTACATGAGAGAGAGAGAGAAGTTCATTCCAACAGATGCCTAAAACCCAGCAGAGGAAATCAAGAGATATGAAAATACAAGGTAACACAACACTTCCTAAAGTTCACAATTCACCAGCAAGTGACTCTAAAGATATTGAAGTGAATGCAATACCAGATAAAGAATTTTAAAAAATGGTTGTGTAAATGATCAATAAATTCCGAGAAAACACACACATACAACTCCATCAATGAAGTCAGTATAGGATATGAACAATAAATTCGATAAGGAGAGATACAGAAATCTTGGAAATGAAAGATAATAATAAATCGAATGAAATGTTCAGGTTAATGTCTAACAGAGTAGATCATGCTAAAGACATAATCTCAGAGCTGGAAGACAAAATGCCAACCTTGAACATTCAGACAGTATTAAACAAAGAAAGAAACCAGACCAGAATATGCAAGAACTCTAGGACAGTAAGAGACCAAACTAAAAATCCCTGGAATTGAAGAGGATGATGAAACACAGACTAATGGCATGGATAACCTCTTTAGGGAAATAATAACAGAAAAAATTTAAACCTTGAGAATGAGATGGACCTCCAGATACAGGAAGCATTCAGAACCCCAAATAGTCACAATCAAAAAAGAACCACTCTGTGATACATTAAAACAAACCAAACAAGAACAGAATTTTAAAGGCCTCGAGAGAAAACATCAGAACACATTTAGAGGCAAGCCAGTCAGAATTATTTCTGATTTCTCAGTAAAAACTCTTAAAGTGGGGCTGAGGCTATAGCTCAGTGGCAGTGTGCTTGCCTAGCATGTGTGAGGCACTAGGTTTGATCCTTAGCACTGCATAAAAACTAAACAAATAAAGGCATGATATCCATCTACAACATTAAAAATAATAATAATAAAAAAAAAACTTTAAAGTGAGGAGGGCTGGAATGCTGGGTTGAAGCTCTGAAAGAAAATAACTGTCAACCAACATTGCTACATCCAGCAAAGATATCCTTCAAAACTGAAGAGAAATAAAAATCTTCCAAGATAAACAGAAACTAAAAGAATTCCTTGCTACTAAGTCAGCACTAAAAAACTTATTTAAAGAAACACTTCAAACAGAATAAAAAAACCTCCAGAGCTCACAAATGACAAATCTTATCTAAAGGGTGGTTAAGCAAATGAGAAACAAAACCAAATTAAACATTAGATATGAATCAAATGATAGGTATTTATACACAGCTCTCTCTAATAAAAATGAATGTAAATTTCAACTCTCCAATTAAAAGACACGTTGGCAGAGGGATTAAAAAACAAGACCCAACTATATGTTGTTTTCAAGAGATGACCTTACAGGTAAAGACCACCAACGGCTGAAAGTAAAAGAATGGAAATTGATATACCATGCAAATGGAGCCCCAAACCAAGCTGGAGTAGCTACTCTCTGACAAAGCAGGCTTCAAGCCAAAATTCCTCAAAAGAGACAAAGAAGGTCACTCCATACTGGCAAAGGGAACAAAAAGATGTAACAATTGTTAATATTTATGCCACAAACATTGGTGCACCTAGTTACATAAAACAATATTCAAATTAAAGATTCAGACTCCAATACAATAATATTGGGTGGTTTCAACATACTTTTCTCACTGAAAGATAGGTCATCCAAACATAAACTCAATGAATAATCTTCAGACTTGAAAAAATATTATAAATCTGACTTAACAGAAGTTAAGTCATCTAAGTTAAGTCTATCTCTCTACTAATAAAATTAGTAATAAAAAGCCTTGCAACAAAGGAAAGTCCAGGACTGAATGGATTCTTAGCTAAATTCTATTAGACCTTTAAAAAAGAACAAATGCCAACATTCCTCAAATTATTCCATAGAATAGAAACTTCAAAATTCATTCAAGCAACATTTTCAAATTCATTCTGTGAAGCTGGTATCAAAAGCATATCAAAACCAGGTAAGAAAACCTCAAGGAAAATAAAAAAAAAAGAAAAACAACTATGAACCAATATCCCCAATGAAATTATGACGCAAAAATCCTGAATAAAATATTAGCAAATTATAATCAAGACTATATTAAGAAGATTGATCATCATAACCATTTGGTTTTAACCGAGAAATGCAAAGATGGTTTAACAAACACAAATCAATAAATTAATGCATCACATAAATACAATTAAGAACAAAAATCAATTATCTCAAAATCAGCCTCCACTCATGATAAAAACACTGAAACAACTAGGGACAGAAGAAACTCACCTCAACATCATAAAGCTATATATGACAAACCCAAAGCCAACAACACAGCAAATGAGATAAAACTAAAAGCATTTCCTTTAAAATCTGGAACAAGACAAGGATGTCCACTCCATCCATTCCTATTCAATATAGTATTAAAAATTCTAGCCAGAGCAATTAGGCAAGAGAAGGGGTGGAAAAAAAGGATAAAAATAGAAAAAGAAGCAGTTAAATCATCACTGTTTTCAGATGACATGATCTGATAATTAGAAGATCCAAAATGTTCCACCAGAAGACTGCTAGAGCAATATGCAAATTCAG